TATATATATAAATATATATATATATATATATATGATGTACATACAATGTACCACTGTACTATAGATTCTCTTCCATCAAACATTAATTGCATAATGTTCTTGGATTCATTTTTTACATGTACAAAATAGTGCTTGTCTTCTGCTCAACAGGTGAACAGTATGAATTTTTTCCCTCAAAAATATAAAACTTCATCTGGAAAAAATTCTTGGATTTGAAAGATAGGGCAGAATGACTGTTGCACTGTACACCCTCTTTGTGAGGGGCAAGGTAAAAAATTCAAGATTTGCATCACTAATTTCTCACTGTGTGATACATTTTTGAATTATTTTCTGAAATAGCATGCTGGGCGGGATAATTGTCTGCTCTTCTTTTTAAATTCAAGGAGTGTTTAAAAAAATGAATTGCACACTGTTAAACTGTACATCATCCATTGAGCAGAAGACAAGCACCATTTTTTAAAATTGTAATGAGTGAATTGCAGGATTTTTTGAAACAATATTTTTCTAACCAACAGATTTTTGTACCCTGGGGGTTTTTTGGTGGAGCCTTGTGTTGAAAACTATGCCTAACAATATGCACATTCTCAGACACAGTTTTCAGCGCAGGGCTCCATCAGCAAATCCCAAGGTTGCAACAACAAAAAATGCTATACCAGTGTAAGTTTTTGTACCCTCTGGATTTTTGTATGGCAGTCAAAAACAAGTGACCTAAAAATTTATTAAACCTAAGGTTTTAGGTCATCGTCTTAAAAACATGGGTGACCTAAAACCTTAGGTTTAATAAATTTTTAGGTCACTTGTTTTTGAGACGGTATGTTTTTTCCAGAGGGTACAAAAATCACAAAATGGCAGATATTTGCATGCCAAATATCCACCATTTTGTGTTTTTTTTTAGGACCATTTTTCATGATGGGTTAAGAGTGGGTGAAATACCCATTAAAATAACCCTTTCAACCAGTCCATTACATACACATTATTTTAATGCCAATTCAACCCATGAAAATAACTGTCCTGTAACCCGTTATTGATGGTTTGAGGGACCATCACCTGTGATGGTTACAGATGACAGTTTTTCATGGGTTTTTTACTCATGAAAAACTTGAAAATTATTTGCTGGGCAGCTGTCAAATACTGATTGAGGGTATTATTTGATGAGAGAGACAGGTCCATTTCTGGGTTTTCATTACAAGAAAAATGAGCTTGTTTACATAATTTATAGGCCAGTCAGGGTGCTTATTTACAAGAGAAAAAAAGCACAATGATTAATTTTAGACGCTCAAAGGTATACTTCTTTCATATTTCATTTGAAAATATTTATCAAGGCAGAATGAATTGGATTTTTAAACTTGTGATATCTTGAAAAAAATCAGAGCTGTTTCTCAGGATTTTGTTTGCATTTGAGTTAGTTTTACTGCATATATACAGTATATATAATTTCATCATGAGGGGATCCTCAATGTCTTGCAAAAGCTTAATTTTTTATTTTCAAGAAAGAAGGGTATCAAGCAGAAAAGATTAAATTCCAAATAATTTAAATTAAAAAGCATATTCATTTCACATTCATCCTGGCTTTCATGTCATGGGTATGTGATTCTCAATGAAAAGTTTTCTAATTCCTTGATGTCTTTGGAAAAATGCCTGGATTATTTCCATATTGTTGTAAAATGATTTCACTCCTATATATGCCCCATCAGGGTATAATAAGAATATAAGAGAATGACAAAATGTGAGTTTTTATCGCTTTTCATTGTGTAAATCACTGAAAAGGTGGATTTTATCATGGGATTGAGAGACAAATAGAGTTTTATAGGGTGATGTTATACACTGATGAGGTAAAGCAGTGTTTCTCAAGCTGTTAACTTTTGGTGGAGTTTCATTTTATTGAGCAGACATCCATGTACAGTATATATACTAGTATAATGCATGTATGTCTGGAATAAAATGAAACTCCACCAAAAGTTAACAGCTTGAGAAACACTGCTTCAAAAAGTTAACAGCTTTGGAAAAATGTTGGTGAAGTTTCATTTCATTCCAGCAGACATACATGCATCACAGCAGTGTATACATATGGATGTCTGGAATAAAATGAAACTCCACCAAAAGCTGTGTCCCATCACAAAACAAACTGAGTCACTATACTGACGGCAGACACCCAACTCGTGGCTGGCTAATGGATTCGAGAAAACTGAAATGTGTCGAAACCGATGAGTGAAGATTTCCACTTTTTATGTTGCTCAAAACTTGATTTCTTTCCTTATGCCTCGTCCTTTCGTGCGACGCACAAGCAGGGGGAGGGAAAGAGACACCAAAAGAATGTGATTTTCTCTTGAGCAAAACGTGGGGAATGAAGAAGGAGAAGAAAGCCAAGTGGATTTCGACGTGAACGCTTTATTTCTTCATCAATTTGAGTTGCACCGTGACACAGGAGGGGTGGAGGGGGGGGGGGAACAATCACAATAAGGCTTTACATTTTGCTTCACTGCTGCCTTCTTTCTCCCAGTAACGAATTTTTTTTGCTATTTTTCCTTGACCGTGTTTCGTACATGATTTGAATAAGAAAATAAATTATCGTCACCGTCGTGCACAGAAAGAGAGAAAAGACAACGTTTTTTCATTATTCCAGTTTGATGGAGTTCCAAGAAAATGTCGATTTTCCTCGCTTGCTGCTGCTGAAATGTGAAAATGGAAAATTCTGTATACTGTATATAAATACATATATATACATTTGATGGATTTCCTGGGCATGGGTATGTCCTGATTTGAATACCGCACTATTCTTAAAGAGAGGATCTCTAATTCAATCATGTTGTAGTTCTGATGATGGCATGATGCTTTTACAGCGAACACTCTTCATGCAGTTCGCCCATCATGCTCATATATATATATAAGCAATGAATTATATTGAGGTGGGGTTATATATGTTATTCTTTTATTCAAAAAGTGTTCATGCATTTTTGGGGGCCTATATCAACCTTTATAACGTTTCCAAAGATCTGAAGGATCTGATCTCGAGGATGTATAGAACAAGGATCCGTGCATAATTCGACTGCAAAGCCCGAAAACGATGATAACAGACGATGTAATAATAAGCTTCAGCAACGTGCCAACATTTGCACTGCTGGAGGGATATGACGCGGCGAGAAGCAGTAAATAGCAGCATGTCAGGTGAGGTTTGCATTGCAATAAGGAGGTCAATTGAAAAACCCAGGAACGGAGTCTCAAATTTTCCCTATAGGACAAGCAGTTTTCTCTCATTGCCCCCGAATTACCTTAGTCTGCTGCGTCCTTGCTGCGTTGCATGGAAAGAAATTTATTTTCCAGTTTTGTGAAACGCTACGTTGAAAAGTTTCTCGCGGTCGCTCATCAATATGCACACAAAGTGCGCCAAAACCATGGAAGGCTTCAATAAGGAAGACGAGTCTTTTCCCGCCGAACTGACTTAAAATAAGTTGAATCTGTGCAAGATGACGGATTATTTCCGCAAACGCTGTGGTTTGCGTAATTTACGATAACTATACGTGGAAAATGGATAACCAGTGGACGATCAAGCGAAGCATCCTTCGAAAATTACTAGGTTTTGTAATACTGTATTGCAGTGCGGTATTCTACTATCCGACAAAATGCGCCAGATTTTGACCCGTTCTTTCTGGCGGGTGCGAAATTACATGATGCGATTTTCGGACCGTTCTGCCGTATATTTTGCGACGCGCTATTTTTCTTGAAAATTTTTACTTACCGCCATCACAGCGGTCTCTTAATGTGACTGGAGCCCGATGAATTCCTTGCCGCGTGTATTGCTGATTTTATGTTCAGCCAAATGCCGGGATTTTCCGAGTTTGTTTCGAATCTCAGATTTTTTACAATTGATATATTGCTAATTTTATGACTTCGTTGACTGGATTCAATAAGAAAAAAATTGAACTATACACAATCGAAGACTGTTTCCGTTTCATTGAAAATGTCCCGACATCAACTCCACTGAATTCGGACGAGCTCTTGTATTACTTCACTTACACATCGGCAAGGATAGTTGCGTAAGAAATTACGCCAAGAATGATCCACCCTTCTTTGATTTGCTCCTATAAATAACAAATGTGTATCAGGTGCTATTTTGCTATCAAATTTTCGACTTTATAAACTACCGGGACCAAGTTTCTCTGCTAGTTACACGGCCGAAGAAATCTTCATAGAGGGTAAATCCATCGATGTAACAAAGTTTAGACAAAACTGGAGACTGTCCGTTATTAATAAAGTCTGTCTTTACAAATGGCGCTAACTTACCATGTTTACTATGCCTGTTTTCTGTTTGACGCTATTTTACAAGCGTTCTAAGTTTTCGTTATTTCCACCGAAGACCAGATTTTTATAGGCATTCACAATGCACTAATGAAATCACTCGGCTCATCAACCAGAAACAAGAGAGAAAAATAAATAGAACTCAAGGAAGATAGCCTTGTTCATCAAGACTATCGTCAAAAAAAGAAAAAAAAAAACTTTCTCCGTGTCAGAAAGGCTTTTAATTTGTCCACCTCTTGGAAAAAAAGCATACAAATGAAACATAACACACAAATGCTCTCACATGAAAGCATCTTCACGATCAGCTCCCGACACATCCCCTTCCTCATAGCTCCGCTTTAAGTCCATCACTCTGCCCGCTACCTAAAGCACTATCTTCAGGAAGCCTAAGCGGTTGTAGTTCAGTATGAAGTACAAGCCTAGCACAGAGTGCGGACGTTAAGTCCTTTGTTTTTACTTAATCATCAGTATAATAAGGGGTTCTCACGATGAACCAAGAAACGCATTTTTAAAAATTTAAATAGACCATACTTTTCTTCAATCAGATAGCATCCCGAATAACAAACAAGAGAATGACTCAAGATGACTAACCCATGAAATTGTAGTTCCACGACCCATGCGCCGGGACCATGAAGAATCCCAGGAATCGATCCGAAAGGATCATCTGCACGCGTTCGTAATGCGAGGGTAGATACCCCTTCGGGTTGTTTCCCCGGTCCGTGTTGCTTCGACCCCATTCAAACCCGCTCGGAGTGAGTTTGTAGGCAGTCAAAGAAACTGAACCCGGAGTGAAGCTGCAAGTGATGACGATGGTCTTCTCGCCGTCCCAGGCTGGATTATCCGACATGATCCGCGCGTGAGTCGTGATGTCGTGCGGCGACAATTGCGGCAGCTCATTCGGCTGCGTGTGCATCCAGCCCAGGGGCTCCAAGTCCTTGAGGTACTCGTGGTTCGGCAGAGTGTGGGGCAAGTTCACGCTCTGATGAGTGCCCCACTGCGGCGGCATCACTACGCAGCGGATCTCCTTCACTTGAGGATTGTCCGCGGGGCTCGAGCCGTAAATGTACCCAGAGATCTGCGCAAAATACCNAAAGCGCCACCCTTGACAACTGCCAACATTTTGAAGGAAACAAATCTCCCCCATGCTAAATTCTACAGAAAACCTCGATAAGACGCCAACCGCCAGCATTAGTGATGCAACAAAAGTGCTGTTTCCTGCTATTAGTTGTTCCTTGGTTACAATGCCAACATTGGGTTAGAATTATATTTCTGTCAAGGATCTTATGTTTGTAAGAATAAAAAAATAATGATGATCATTGTGTTGAAAAATGTGAGCAATATATTGACCTAATCTTGAAATTTGAATGAATTGATGCAGAAAAATCTATTTTCTGAAAGAGTAATCCATTGATCAAAGCAATACTCTTGGGAAAATTACTGAAGTTTCTGGAAAACCTGTATCTCCACAACTTTTGGAGGAAAATCAAGTATTTTAATTAAATTAATTTAAAATTGAATATTCAATAAACTGCCAACCCCCCTGAGTGGGGAAATTGGTTTGGTGCACACTGGGGATTTGTTCATAATTCTACACAGTGACCCTGCTGTGCACCTGAAGTGTACCAAAGTTCTTCTGTTGCACATGCATATCCCCAATGTTGTGGTTAACACACAAATGTGGTCCTATTGAGTCCCAGTGTAAACATTTGTTTATTCAATGTGGTCCCAATGTCAACCACGTAAACACACTACGAGGACAATAAAGTGTAAACACGTGGTTCACATTGCCTGAAATGGTAGCAAAATTTCCTCCACAGGAGTGCACACTTGTAACCCCAGAATATCCCATATATTCTGGGTCCATTGTGACCCTGTTGATGCTCCTGTTATTTCACATTTGTGCACCAAGTGTAACCCTGAAATGGTAGCAAAATTTCCTCCACAGGAGTGCACACTTGTAACCCCAGAATATCCCATATATTCTGGGTCCATTGTGACCCTGGTGTGCACCTACTGTGGGGTCACAGCAAATAGCTCCCCACTCGGGCCTTTAAACCGCTAAAATTGCTCTGGACAAATGGTGGCGTCTTATCAGGGTTTCACTGTACTAGACTTTCATGGAGTACTGTAATGCAGACAAGAAATACACACATAAAAAAAGGCGTGCTTTTGACATGATGTAACTGAGAATACCAACTTATTCTTTTTCCCGTAATCGGCGAGGATGAGATCCTTGAGCTGGACCTCAACGCGGATCCATTCATCGTCCGTCAGGGAAGGCCAGATGTGATGGGGTTCGGTAATGGTTCCCTTGTCTGGCTTCAGGATCACCTTCGTCCTATCCGTGTTGACGTGCAACGCACGTTGAATCAGAATTAATCTCGAGAACGCCGTGTAGGATGAGATCGTCTTCAGCCAGTCGTCGTACAAGTTGAACAACACCATTTGCGGTTCCGTCGCCTTCAGGATCAAATCGCCAATTTTCTCCACCTTCAGACAGGCTTGGAACGGCAACTGCAGTTCACTGCCCTTGATGACAATGTTGGGGAAATCAAGCAAGTGGACTTCCAGGGGATCCAACATGCCTTTCCTCGTAACGATGATTTGCTTAGGCTGCTCTTCCACAGGCAGAGAGCGGATCAAGGCAGCAACTTCTTCGGCGGTTTTCCACTTCGCCAACTACAAATGAGAGCCATTTCAATCAGCAAAACCAACTCTGGACATAAATGCTAAAATGTCGCATTCACCTGACCAAGACGCTTCTGACCAGCCCACACAGAAGTATGAATGACCTTCAAAAACAGCTGTCCTGTTCTCGGATTGAAAATGAAGATGGCACCGTTGATCGGTTTCGTCGTCAAGTTTCCTTCGAACGTCTTGTGAATCGTCACACGATAAACGTTCGTGTCATCGACGAACCTGAAAAAAAAAAATATATATATATAAGAAGAAGCGATTAAAACCACGCAAACGAAACCGAACAGGATTCAGTTCAGTTAACCGAACAAATGTACAGACAAATTACAGCCAGACGAACATCGTCCGACTATTGAATCTGTCCGCAATTTATATACCACTTTGAAAACGACTTCAAGGCACTCGCACCATCAATTTGGTGGGTTCTGCCAGGAAGCAGCTGGAAGTGGATTTTATTCTGAAAGAACTATATTTTTTAGCTGAAATTTCAAAAATGAGAAGAAAACTTGAAACAACTTCAACAAATGCGAAGGGTACTTTTTGCGAAGTTCAGTCAGAGAGAATTAATATTTTTCAGCAAACTTCGAAGACCAAGAATGAGAATTCGATTCAAAGTACAGTAAAATCTTGTGACAACAAACCCCCAGGGACCTAAGAAAAACTTATTTAATAAAAAATTCGTTATATTGAGATTAATGATTATTAGCACATTTCAGATTCAGACTGGAATTTTACTGGGAAATGGAGAATACATACTTTGAAATGTTTCTAAAACAAATAATTCTAGACATAGCATAATTAATGAGTACTTTTGATGAAATGAAGAGAAATCCTTTGATGTAAATATAACTCTCCTTTAAATGAACTAACATTTGTAATAGAGTATTGCTTGTCTTGAAAAATGAAATGCCATTTTTCCGAGGAATCACTATATAGGCAATGCACAGAATCATGCCCACAAATTCGTTTTAATGAGATTACAGCCTAAAATTACTTTGTTATAACGGAATTTTTTTGCCTATGGGAAACTGCCAGGACCAAACAAAAAATTCGTTATAACGAATTTATACATTCGTTATGCCGAAATTCGTTGTAACCGAATTCCACTGTAGAAGGTGCAAAGGCACACAAGTAACTTCAAAATTCACAACCAAAGATGACCATACATTCATTGCTCATGTTTTCTTCGCGGAAAAGGCCAGAACAAGATCTCCCATCTGCAATTCATAATAATTACACAACATTATTCGTCAGGTCTCACCAAATGATCTGATTGGAGAACAATTCCCCATAGTTCTGCGACGACAAATACGGCTCAGTCGGCTCCGAAGAATACAACTGCAGGCCTTTCCTAATTCGCTCACGCAACACGTACAACGCCGGGTTGGCTTTCATGATCTTCGCCATCGCCTGCTGCACCAAAGGCTTGGAGCCCGGGAACCAATTTCCATACGCAGAGTGCAAATTGTACGCCAAATCGATCGCCAATAATACCCCGGTAGGAGAAGGATAAATCGACATGTTATCCGTCGTGTAGTCCAAAAATTTGGCTCTGGCATAACGTTCAACGTCGTGCGAGTCATAATCCCCCCAACGAAGCTGGATGTCCAACCAATACTTCTGAGTCGTCGTGTTGTCCATTGTGTCCTTCGAGTCGGCGAGAAGACTCGGACGCGAAACGTTCCACTTGTAAGAGGCAAACAGCAGAATGTCCGCACACGAAGAATTCATCTTGTAGGACTTTCGCGGATGAATCGTTTCCTTCTGCACAGTTTCCACCTCCAATGCGTCCAGTTCTTGATCGAACACCTACACAAATTCACAATGAAGTAAATTGTTGTTTCATCGGAAAAGCAATGAAGAAATAAATACTTGACACAAATCCATGACAACAGCCTCGTGAATCTTCTGCCACAAATGAGCACGGAAGATCTGAATCAACGAGATCTTCAGCGTCGGAATCTTTCCGTGCATGAAAATTCCCGTGAGATCGAGTTGAACCTTGAATGAAAAAATTTACAGATATGTAAATACAGTTGAAAAATACACACGAAATAACTCAGTCCAATAAAATTTAAATACGAAAAACGATGCACAAACCTGGAAGCCAACATATACGTTGGCACGATTGATCGTCGGCGACCACCACAACGTGAATCGACGATTCGGAATTTGATTCAACCCAGATCTCTGGGCGTTCGTCAGCTTCTTGTACTTCATCGACTCTTCGAAACCTGATGCTTTTTCCCTGCGAAAAACCAAGTCCTATTCTGGGTTCAGCTCTTCTCAAAATTCAATAGATTTCATTCCTCACCAGAAAAGACCTTCCCACGTGGGGAAATACGTTCCTTTAAACAGCGTGTGTTCCAAGATTCCTTCCACTCCGCCTAGTGCTTGTATCATGTCCGTTCGGTAGTTATTCAAGTTCCACAATTTACCGTCGTGTCGCTGATGAGTCCACCAGAACGGGTTTTGCTTCAGAACTTGGTAGGCCTTGAACTCCGTCCTCACACGCCAGCCTTTATCATAAGCCAGCGTATGTCGATCCTTCAGAGAAAAAAATAAAATTAATTTGCAAAATGTGCCAAAAGTAACTTCCTGATTCCATTTTACAACCTTCTGAAACAATGTGTTGATTCTAGGAATCCCACGATCCCAACTGTCCTCCAAATCCTCGAGGGTCAAACGCCGATTTTGTGAATTCGCTTCTTGCCGTTTGAGTGCATATTCAGCCCAAACTCGCTGCGAGTCAATGAATTCAGCTTCCCACGGTTGGACATAGCGGTACAAGTTGGGAATGACTTGATCCTCGTCGTGACTCATTCCGGACCGGAAGTGCGTGATGCCAACATCAGTTTGCTTCGACCACCGCAGGTCACTCTAAAAAAAAAATAATCACAAATTTTATATTTTCGAAAATAAACGCAGGCCATCAAAAATTAAAAGTGAGTACCAACCTGTGGAATAAGCACGTGGCCCATAGACAACATGCCCAGACCTCCCAATTCCTTGGGCGTGTAGAACACAACGGGAGGGAATCTCGAAGGCATTTTCGAGTTCAAGCCAATCTTAATACGAGTCTGGATCTTGTTCTCGCACTTGACCAGCAAATCCAAAAGTTCTTGCGTGCTCACTACCGATTCTCTGAAGTACGTCATCAACCCAATCAATGCCGTGTTCCACTTATTCACGATCTTCGTGAAAGTCGTCGAGCCTGACGCCATGAGAATCTGGCGGACGCGATTGTGGAATCGGCCCATCGATTCGTCGTCAACTCTCAAAAAACATTGCGCAGTTCTTTCCTTGGTGATTTCATTTTGAAGATTCCACACTCCATCGCGATGCGTGAACTCTTCTTGCAACGTTCTGCACTGAAATTGAAAAAGGCGAGCATTTCTACAGCGACACGATAAGACACGCACTTGATCGAAGAACATGCATCTTGCACTCACAACAAAAATCAATTTTCCCCCATCATTTAAGTGAGGTGAGACCGATGATTTAGTTCATACATGGATCGACTCTATTCACGACGGAAAACAAGAAACTAACTTTTGGCAGGATGCGACATTCGAAACCAGCCATATTGAAGAGGAGATTCGGATTATCCTTGGAGTAAACGCTGACAAATGAGTTCTCCCAGGCGATCGTGGTCACGGATCTCGGCAATCGATTCTTGATGTCCCAAAATACGGCCCGTCCACTGCAATACATGATTAGGATTGATACTTAGACGAAATACGAATGCATGGTTATCTCTCACAGATTGACATCATGCTTCATCAATCGCATACGAGAGTCACGAGGCCAACACTTTTTGTTGTTGTAACCAACAATGTTTTCGTTGTTCGGATCAGGATGCTCCGTCAAATACCGCTGGATCAGCTCTTTGGCCTCATCCGCAGTGAACCTGTTCCAAAAACAAAGCATTCACGATAATTGCGTTGAAAGAATAATGTGAGCTTGGAACATCGACGGAAAATGAGTTACCTGAAGAATAGATGGATTCGATCTATGTAACGACTGTACAGTCGAATAGGATGCGCCACTTCCGAAACCGTGTCTTGGAAAGTCAAGAACTCGTTCGGCATTTGTGGAGGTCCAGCAACTTCCGAAGCTCTTTGCAGCCCGAGGATCAACAAATCGATCACGAGGCCGTAATATTGAACAATGAAACTGGAAAACTGCAATCCTCTGATGATACCATAACTGTTGGTGTGATTCATGTCCTGTAAATAATTGCACATTCTTTCAACGGAAACAGACGAAGTGATTTGAAGAAGCAGGTTTAGAGAACGGATAAAAACGCGCATATCGAAGCACGAGAATATTCCGACTCAGAACATCTCCAGCCAACAAAACTCACTTTGTAATTGATGACAACGTTGTTCTTCGCAGTCATATAATCGGCAATGTTGTGATCGACGATCAAACGCAGTAAACGATTGAGCAGAGTCAAGTCGATCTTCTCGTACAACTTCTCCAGCTGTGTTTCCATCAAAACGTTGCATTCACCGTCCGACGTTTCCCAAACTTCCTGAAGGTTGTTGATTCCTTGGCACCATTTATACACCAACAAGGGGGGAGGTTCCGAGTCGGCCGGCTTCACCCACGGGGGAAAGAGTTTTCTCTTGTCAGCTTCGTACCACAAATACTGATCTAAATATGCATCAGTGATTTTCTCCAACGGCTCCACGTCGTAAACCGGAATCAGGTGGCTGTACAAGTCCATGAACTCGATCCCAGTCTATCGAAATTTTCAAAGAAATAAATCGTTTTGAACGAAAAAATCATTTTAAAATTCGAAGAAGTTCGACACTCACCTCTTTGAAAGCTCGTTGCGTCAGCAAATGACGCTTGATCCTAGACAAGGCTTCATGAGGGTTATCGTAAGCCTGTTCGATTAAGCCCAACTCCTCGCGCTGACTTTGATTCAACCTCGACTTCACACTGAAATTGAACAAATCCTCGTGAAGAGGGAAACACATTTACAAGGAGAGAAATTCTCCGTACCTGTAAGCTTCTTTCAATCGCTCCAACGCCAAAATCAGCAGCTTGGTGTCGTGCTTGTAAGACAATGGGGGAAACGGAATCGGTGCAAATCTCCTCGACTCCAGCCAGTGTACAGTGGTTGTGTAGATCGCAACAGCTTCTTCTGGACTGATGTACGGACCATCCTAGGAGTTCAGGAAAACACAATTTATACAGTAAAATCTACTTACAACGAACTCCAAGGGACCCAAGAAAAAAAAATCGATTAAAAATTCGTTCTAATTATACAATACGGTATTTACGGTTTCTTGAGCAAATAGAATTGAAATTTTGTGGGAAAGATATACCTGCAATTGATTTTAAGTACTATATTTCCATAACAGATTTTTGAAAACTTGGCTCGCATTTCCAACTCCTATCTACGAAACACTGTAATCAAGAAGATTCAAAATGTGAAATGCTATCCTCTTTTTTTTTTAAATTTGTAGACCTACCTTCTCCCAAAATTTCTAGAAGCACTTTACTGTATACTGATGTTACGAAAAGTATAAGCTTTAACAAACAGAAAATATATCTGTAAGACCATTTACCAAGTAAAAAACTGCATGTTCTCTGAAATAGAACAGTATCCTTCCAAATGTACATTTCTTTCACGAAAACGAGCATTTTCTAAAATCTAAAATGAAGCTGAACAATTCTGTTAAGAGCTTCACACTTCCTGTAATCCTGAATTTACTGCCCAATAAGATAAGCAAACAATGTTTTCGAAGGTTTTTCAATCAAGCACAAGTTGGGTATTCCCATATTGCGCGCATCAGTAATGGCTATCACACAGAATCAACGCAAAAATGCATTATAGTGAGATTACAGAGGAATAAATTCCTCATAACGAAATTTTTATTGCACGGTTCTCATGACGAAGAAGCTGGAACCAAGAAAAAATCGTGATGAGGAAAAATTCATCGTGACGAAATTCGTGGTAACAGAATTTTAATACATTATCAAAAACTAACGATTTTTCAACTAACCTTAAGGTAATTGTGCTGCCGTTCCTGTTCAGCCTTGAGATACAATCTCGTTAGTCTTCCAAGATTCTTTTTGCAAACAGTCTTGTCTACGGTCGCCCCTCGACGAATACGCTCACGGTTGTAGTGCGCTGTGTTCGTCCACCAATCGGCCTTCATTTTCACGTAACGCAGAATCATGTTCTCGATGGGCGTTGGCAAACCAGGCACTTTCCAAGGAATGTTCGCCTTCCAGCAACGCCACGCTTCCGACAAATGCTGCAAGATCGTCTTGGCTTTGTTCTGCTTGATACCCTCGGGCATCATGTCGAGAATGTCGTGCATCACAGAAGCACGAAGCTCCAAATCAAAGTGGGATTCTACACGCTGCTTCGTCACTGTTTTGGCAACACCTTTCGAATGACGACCCTCGAACTGTCTGCTGAGAAGATTTCCGAGCCATCGTTCCAACAGCGGCGTGACTCCGCGGAGGAAGAACAGCCAGACGCGCCAAGCAGGTGCCCAGATCCCACAGCCAGGGCCTTTGCCCACAGCTCCGGTGTTGAAACGATAGTAAATCAAGTGCTTGATGTCTTTGCACATCCGGATTTGGCGCATCAACTTGTACTTGTAACGGTACATTCCAGTCAGCTGACCAACATGAGAGAAGATGTACTGGATCCCGTCCGAAAGTTGGAATGCATCCACGTTGTTCAGTCGGTATTGAACATGCGCATCAACCAGCAACTTCGTGAGTCTGAGGATTTCGCGACACAGATGGAAAGCTGCAATAAATGAAATAAAGATTGTAACTATACTGATTCGAAAACTCAGAGACTCCCGACTGAAGCCACAAGAAGGACAACTCGCGACTTACCATTTCCGAATCGGGACTTTTTACGCTCCTTCGTAGTCAACGTTTTGACAGGCTTGAGATTGAAATTGTAATCCAAATGCAGATAGTTCAGATTCTTGCGATGAATCAGAAGATTCAACATGTTGTATCCTTGTCTGCACACCTGGAGCCCAACTTCCACCCAATCCAACTGGGTTGACTGAAAGAACTTCGTCGCCTTGAACGATCGGAAGAGATAGCGTTTCTTCTGCGCTTTCGGTGGCCGATGTTTCAAAGCATTGAGCACGAAGTATTTCAAAAGCTTCTGATATGACACGCGCACTTTCACGGGCATTCCAGCGGGACAATGTTCCATGTACCACGTTTTGACAAGAGGAACATCCACAGCTCTTCTTGAACGACCGGACCGGAGGTTGTATGGTCGTGGGGCCCACAGCAGTGAAATTCCGTTCGCCGTGTTGTCCGAATACAAGGGAAATTCTTGCATGTAGGGCTGGCAATATTCTGGAACTTCGAAATCCTCGTCATCTTCGACAACAGGCTCGTACGACTGAAATGCAAAAAATGTGCATTAAGATTAATTTCCATGTACAGTACAACGAATCTCGTTCGAAGGCCTAAAACCTTATTTCAGAAGAGTGCTTATTCAACCCTCAGTCGCTGCTATGCCAGTTCAACACGACATTGAACAGGCAATAACGGCGGTATTGAGAGCCAGCCAGCATGTCGGCTGCATTCGAACCCCTGCACTTACTCATCATTATTAGATACAAATAGCGGACTTGATTGTTCCCGAAACAACGAAAAAAAAAACACAAACCTTCACGGCATGACGATGTGCAATCGGATTGATCAACGGATCGAAATAGAAAGCGGGCAAATCAGGGTCCTCCGTTTTGATGTAGACCACATTTGGAGTGTGGTACCACGACAAATGAACAAACTTTGGCATGCTGTTATACAGATATGGAAACGCAATCCGATATTCAGTTCGAACCGGCTGACGAATGATGATTTTATTGATGTCGTTGAACTCATTCCAGTCTTCATCCCTGTTAAGAAACAAAAATGAAAATGACGTTGGATCCGGAAAAATCTACAAGAGCACGAAACTCACAAATGACTCTGATCCTTCACAAGAGGCTCAAACTTGGGTCCACCCGGAATAGCCAAGTTTAGAGCTTTGGCGGTAAAAAACGACTTCACGTCGAAGAGATAGAAGTAGTTCTCATCTACAAGATCAGTCAAGAGCTGGTTTGCCAAACGATACAGGGTGGCCATTTGAGGCAAAGACAACTGCCATCGTCGGTAAGTCGTCCCATTCACAAATCTAAAATTTTAAAATATCATCAGAATGCAATCAAGCCGCACGCTTACCAAGACTTACTTCGATTCCGCCAACGGCTTATGCTCATACAGCCAATCTAAAACAGGTTTATCCTCTTCCGAATCCAATTCCATTTGAATGGCTTCCAAAGGTTCAACATCGAGGATGTTGTCGGCGTAGTCCAACGGGGGTTCTTCATCGTCGAATGGAGGAAAACGCATTCGCTTGAAATGACGTCGATCACGTTTTTCACGACGCATCATAATCCACATCGTGCCCCACTGAGCAATGTAAATCGGCTCGATCACCCACGGGATTTCGTTCACAAAAGTAATAGCACCCGTGATGTGGTACAATGCGCTAACATCACGAATCTGCTCCCACGGCATCGGCATGTTCTCAAGGAGTTTCAGAACAGCGTGTGGCATGTATTTCAAGGCTCTGGAGACGTGAACACATAGCGTCAAGATACAAAATTGAAAAGCTCATCATAGTGTGTTCTACTCACCGGTTTATCTGTGCAAACAGTACTGCTATGAACGCGCTTGAGTATAGGGGTACTAGGGCTTATTAAAACGCCTACACGAGACCGCCGTATAGAAGAAAGACCCGTAGGTGCTTGGGTTTAAAAGAAAATGTGGCAAAGCGCTTCGAGCGTAACTGAAGCCATTTCTTTGCTAAAAACAAGAGAGCGGTTATTACGGAATCACTTCAACGGTAAGCACACGCATACCTTTTTCTTGAAGTTTCTCTTCTGTCAAGTTTTCCTTCGCAGCTAACTGCTGTGCATGAGCATGAGCTTGGGCTTGCGCCTGAGATTGGGCATGCCGCTGCACGGCGATGGCTTCGGCTTGCGCCTGGGCCTGAGCAGCGAGAATATGAGCAGCTTGCGCTTGAGCAGCTTGCTGCTGGGCAAGGATGTACGGGTGCCACATGTTCTTTGAGTACTTTTCGACCTAATCAGACGTCTCGGAACCACCAACCCACTCCATAGGGTTTAGTTTATGAAGTCTCAGAAAACACTTCAGATTCTGAACAGATAAGGTTCCACTTCAATAATCGCGTAGAGCTGATTTCCAGAGACGATTTCGGAAACGCGCATGGAACAAACACGTATTGTAGGCATAAACTATACTAAAGCTCCAAAACTTGGTGCGAATTCATACAAGGCATCCAAATATTACGTTTGATAACATGAATTTATACTGCGATTCGTTCATCAGTGAACGATATCGGCACGAACAAGAGCTTCAGGACAATTTTCACTGTCAGCACTCCTCGAACATTAGCAAGGGGTTCTCCCACAGCAAATACACTTTCAGACATGTTCCAGTTCGGTAGGCCTCATGAGAACGTTTTCCGTCTGTAGTACTTCCGCGCCAACGGAGTAGAAGCATCACAACAACATTTAGTCGGCAACTGTTCAGTAGGGCTTGCCCCAACGGGGGCAGCGACACATTACTCTCCCCCCTCCCCCAAAAAAAAGAATCACGCCTTACTGTTCCATAACTTAGGCCGTTGCGTACAATTTCTCAAATGCCTTGTTGCGTACAATTTCTCAAATGCCGCGCTGTGGACATTTTGGGGAATACTGTATTTCTCAATCGCGAACCTGATACTGTAGTGTGAGACTTTCGCCAGGAGCGACATCTTTTCCATGATTCGAATGTTTGCAATTTTCTGGGCACAATAAATATGTTCCAGCATTAACAGCTAAATGTTTTTCAAATTTTAGTATTGAGGAGAAAGGATCAATTATACGGCACTGCCTGTATTAAACACTGTTTAATGGCCAAAAAGATATTTTAAATTTAGTTTCAACAAATTTTTGTTCGTAACGACGCTTTTCCAAGGTCCCAAATGTTTCGTTGTAAGGGGATTCGATTATACTGCGCATTCTACCATTGATCAAGCTTTACATCTGTCGAGCCTCGAAAAAATTTTCCAGCTCACAAGGAATGCGAATACAATTAAAAACTCTCTACAACAATTTTATGTCAAAAAAATTTTTGTTGACCCCATAGGGTTTCTTTACAACGAATTACCTTTTCTTGTGCCATGAATTTTAACCTACAGAGAGTCCACCTTCATTTTAAACAAGGTCTACGCTTCGGCCTGAAAATAGAGTTTTTTTACACATTAACAATAATTTTCAATTTTACCTTCGAACGCCGCCATCTTCGTTCACATTTTTTTGTCCACATATACGAAACCAAGTCCACTATCGGCTGATTCACAAATCCATCTTAAAGCCTGAAAAATAACCCATGAGATTTTCATAGCACAGTTCATGAAAAACCAAAATTCGAGGACAAGAGTAAAAACAGGGACGTTAAAAAAATCTCTTTTATCAGACTTGATCTCCTCGGTCTAAAAACCAAGTTGCCACGAAAAAATAAAAATAAAACGGAAGATATAATTTAAAATCACCGCATTTCTCCAAGATGGAGAATAACTCGAAAGGTGATCCCCACTTTTCAAGAACTCGGGGCAATCACTCGCGACGAAGCGTGCTCGTGTTTATAAAAAGCACTCAAACGGGGATCTTCATTTTGACACGTTAGCAAAACGTTTTGAAACTTTTCAGTGAGTTCAATGAGAAGAGAACGTTGTACATTCGCCTTGTACATGATATCTTCCAAGTGGTGCATGCCGTTGAAATACGGGAACAGTCTTTGAAGGAAAAAAACCGGAAAATTAGCAAACCAGGTACAGTATAATTCCCGTTACAACAAACTTGAAACAAATTCAATACCCGAAGTGTGCGGTAAAAGTTGTTCAATCGAGAATCTCTATAAAATCTGCTGATGGTTGTTTTTTAACACGAGGCTTGCATAATTAAAATGAAGGCTCACTGGCTGAACTGCCACGTTATCCAGTAATTCAAAAGTTTTTTTGAGAATTTTCAAGCTTCAAATTTACAATCTTCGGTATTTATTCAGCGACAACGTTTCGTGTTTCTCTAATTTCAGGCGAGTTTCTAATCAAGCAAAAATGTCTGCATAATTTCTCAAAATTGTCAAGGAGATAATAAAAATGTAAAAAGGTGGGGCATTTGTTCCGAGGATAAATTTCTGGTAATTCTGGTTTTCGCACCGAGTTTTTCACCTCATTTTCTTGTCATTTTATATTATATCGGAATTTTTCAAAGCCTTTTCTATCTATCATCCGCTGAAACTTCGAGTTTACGGTAATTTCTTTGACTGAAAACTCGTTAAAACACTCGTACGTGAAATGCTTTGGAAATTTAATTCGCAATACGGTACCTGGCAAAGAGTTTCAGGTCTGCAGGTTCGAGAGACGCAGGGCACTTTAAAATCGCTCGCATCTCCCATCCTCTGAGCTCAGGTAACAACATTCGAAGGCTTTCCAGAGCTTCTTTCGACTTCTGTCGCTTCACTTCGTCTTCCTCCTCACACTCTTCTTCCTCGTCGAAATCTTCCGGAATATCATCACCAGCTAAAAGAAATACGCGAGAAAAATTGTTTTCCAACAACTTGCTCACGAAGGTTGATATACAAAAAGTTGGAAGGTTTTCGACAACATATGAACATCATACAGAATTACATCGATGAAAAATACACCTATTTCTAGATCTTCGACCAGGAAGTACAGTTTGATTCGACGTCTAGCGGAAAAAATTGAAAATTTGTTTCTAGTTACAAGATCAATGTACCGCAAACCGAAATTTGTCACCATTTTTGAGATCCCACGAAGGAATCAAGGTATTTATATTTTTTTGTATCTTGTCGTGCATTCAATTTTATTCAGCATTCAAAACAGGCTGGATTTTTGGCTACATGATTTTTTCCGTCATCCGCACAAATATGGAAAAACACGTGCTTGTTCTTTTTTGCATTTTGGGCTTCTTTTGTGGTTTTCTTTTGCACAGGTTTTTCCTGCATCGTGGAGTTCATAAAAAAATATTTATTCAATTTCAGGGGGATTTTTTCCATTTTTTTTTTTTACGAACACGAAACCAATCGTATGTCCCCGTTAAAATCGATGGGACGGCGTTATTCGACATTCGGACATGGCCCGAGAACCAATTAAGTCCGCATCTCGGGGCCCCCACTTTAAAACTTATTTCAAAACAAAATTTTCAAATCACCGTAAAGCCATAATTCCCCATCTGGAGTCGATTGTCGACTGCGAGTGCTCATCACATAAGAACTTCTTCGAACACTCGACGCACGGGGTTTCCTCGGTCGTCCCGACGGCAGAAAATACAGGTAAATATGCAACTGCATCAAAAGCCGTTTTTGCAGCAGCCAAACAACGATGTCCACATCGTCCTTCTGCAGAACAGGCAAAAATAAAACCAAGCGTCCAACGAATAAAACGAATTCCACGTCTAAATGCGATCAAAAGAAAACCACAACACGAAGTACGGTATACCTGTTCCGAACAAATGAGGGGACTCTGTTTCTGACTCAAAGACGTCGGAAACGAGAATTCCGCAGCTGCTTCCGCAAAAGTCACACCCGGGAACGTTTTCGCAAATTCCTCTTGCAATGCAGCCCTAAAGCAAAAAATAAAAAATAAAGAAATCTTTCAAAGAAAAATGTCACGCATCATCTCAATTTTGAAAAAAAGGCATACTTGTGCACTGGAGCGTCCGGCGTGAGAATGTAAACATTTGACTCGCACACCGGGTAGATAATCAAAGCCTTTCCCCAATAGACCATTTGACAACAAACCTGAAGAAATTCAACACATTCAATTTCCGTAAGCGGTGAGTTTAAGAATGAACCAAAAAAAAAAAATTCCCCACATAACAAAATTTAATCCCCTTCCAGGATGTGGTTCGTTAAGCGAAACGCGTTTTCCCTTGAGGACAAAATATTCGATTTGTTCCAGATACTCGAAAAAAAATCATGCTGAACATGCGAAAGGTTTTTTTTTCCTTAATAAAAATGTAAACTTGAAATAGATCAAAATGAAATTCATGTAATCCTTGCAAAATTGTTCCTTTCTGAATTTCATTAGTTTTAAAGGCGAATCTATGTCTTTCTTTCCGCTTTTCTCCTCGATTTTTTGAAAAATTACGTAATGTGAGACCAAAACTCGCTGAAATTCAGAACTTTTGTGGCCACAAAATTTCGTCATCTGAAGCAATTTCGCCTAGAAAATTTTCAACGCGAATTTTTCCTTACAGGTCTTTTGTTATGCGGGAATGCACTGTAACCTGTATTACAGGATTTATACGTGAGACTTTCCCTCGAATTCTCGAAATTTCAAGCGGATTCAACTTCTTTTTAAACTTCCATCTCCACAATAAAAACTGCATCCTTCGACTTGGTTGAAAATCCAAACTCGTAGGTACTAAGAATTTAGAAAAATCCGAACAAAACAAAACCCATACCCTGAATATAGTGTTCAAGGCGACATCCGCGTCTGCGGCTATTTGGGCCATGGACTTGAAGGGCGTGAGAACCTCGAGGATTTTGTGCAACACCGGCGACGCCCCCAGGGGCAACTCGTCACCCAACAATCGCTCACTGTGCTCTCGACTCGAATAAGAGTACGGAAACTTTTCGCTGGACCCGTCATCAGAGCCTTCACTCATGTCCTCCTTGTGCCGCCAGGTTTCCGGAAGATGTTTGCTCAGCAGCAGGAACCCGTGGTAGGAGGAAATGCTTTCCAAGCACTCCACAACTTCCCCGGGCTGGGAAAATAGATTTCAAAAATCAGTATCCACGAAGAAATGTGAAACGTTGACGGATTTTTCTCTTGAAAGAATACCTCGATGATCAAGCAACCGTTTTGTAAATAGTGCACTTTTTGTGGAAGACAGAAGCTGACGTCAATCCAAGAATTCACTCGCTGCAAAACCACGCCAGATTCGCACAAGCTACAACAGAAAATGCACAGGGATCAAACATGATCTTCCCTCTACATAACAGTACTTCAATGCTAGACCTTAATTTATAAAATTCAAGACAGGTGTCACTTGAATCAATGACCCATCTACTGACCTAAACATCAAAATATTCTAAGAAAGAACTCCCAGGGTGGTCTCCTTTTAAAGGAACGTTCGTGCTAAGAAGTTTCTTTATCTTGACTTTAAAACTCCCCTTTGTTCCTTATTTACGAGATTTTATGAAGGTGTTATCTTTACACCTCTTAAAGGTAGTAAAGGAATTTATTTTCACAAAATAAATAGAAGAAAATTCAAAATTTAAAATACGAGTCTCTCATTTCAAACTTTCCCTTTCTTGAATTTGCTAAAAACGTGCTGACCTCAAGTATGGGCAGGAACAAACATAAATCAAATTATAAAGAGCATTCATTCATTAACTGAATGTTCCTTGAAATACCGCAGCAACAACTTAAATCTTTTTTCCTACAAAAAATTGCCCATTTCTAAATTCTGAAATAACAACAGACACATTTGGATTAGAACTTCATACTTCCTGCAATGCTGAATTTTTGCACTAATGATTAACATTTATATTTTCGAAACGTTTTCAATTACACGCCAGTTGGGTTTTCCCATATTGAACCTATCAATAAAAATGTATACTCCCAGGGCCGGATTAAGGTGGGTGCTATTGATGCTGCAGCATTAGGCCCACAGGAAAAATAGGCCCCTGGAGAATTTGAAAAAATTTCTCAATTTGGGAAATCCAAAATTTTTTCAATTATGAAACTTACCAGAGGAAAATTTCCTTGCAAGCACGATTCTTCAAAGAAATAGAACTGAAATTTTGAGGGGAAACAAGGAATAAATGCTCTAAAATACTTCCACAATAGAAATGTGGAGAATTTCCATCATTTCCGATTTATTTTCACAAAATAAATACAAGAAAATTCAAAATTTAAAATACGAGTCTCTCATTTCAAACTTTCCCTTTCTTGAATTTGCTAAAAACGTGCTGACCTCAAGTATGGGCAGGAACAAACATAAATCAAATTATAACGAGCATTCATTCATTAACTGAATGTTCCTTGAAATACCGCAGCAACAACTTGAATCTTTTTCCCTACAAAAAATTGCCCATTTCGAAATTCTGAAATAACAACAGACACATTTGGATTTGAACTTCATACTTCCTGCAATGCTGAATTTTTGCACAAATGATTAACATTTATATTTTCGAAAGGTTTTCAATTGCATGCCAGTTGGGTTTTCCCATATTGAACCTATCAATAAAAATGTATACTCCGTATACGGCGCATGCGCACAGAATCAAGGCAAAAATTCATCATGCAGATCCCTCAGCGGAAAATTATTTCAGGGTAGCAAAAATTCCATGCAGAAACTGCTGGGACCCAGAAAAAAGTTGTTATAAAGTACATTCTACAGACGATCATCTCCAATTTTAACCCCTAGAGAAATTTCAAGCGACACCCACGCGACGAAAACAGCAATTGTAGCAATTTCATACCTCGCAAAGATGTCGCGCAATTCGCGGGCCAGTTGGCTATTCTCTAGAATTTTCGCATGCACCGAATGTACGACGTCGGGATTCTTTTCCGCTTCAGTCGCATACTGGTCGTCAATTTCTTGCATGATTTTCATTTCCCGGGATAAATAACCACAGCGCAATTCCTCGTGCTTCAGTGCGACGCTCAGCCGACGACACAACTCGTGGTAATTTTCGACAACCCAATGCGACGCCTTGGCCTGAAAGCGAACGATAAAATTCCCATCGAATGAGTAACACACAAAAATAAAAAAGCCAATGGAAACAGTGCGATGAACTGACACATAAAGTGAAGAGTAAATGGCGGAAAATCCGTATGAAACAGGACAGATTTTCGAGATTCCCTCCGTGCCATAGCGAAATTGAATAAATAAAAATTTCATCAAATGAATCACAAATAAAATGTCAAAATGAGGACTGACAATTTCGGTACAGTATTCGGAATAGGACAAAAGGCAGCTGAGTTTTTTTCTTTTTTTTCTGGCATGAAAACGCGTTCATTCAATTAGAGCGAAACAAAATTATAATCACCCTCAATGCAATCACGACGTTGAACAAACTAAATGACGAGGAACCCCCAGGTGCTCGGTACATTTGTTCCTCTTTGGTAAGGACCAACGTCGTTGGATGACTGATAAATCGCACGTCATTGATCTTCACTTCCAGCCGCTCACCCCAAAGAGCTTTCTTCGCAGAGAAAAGATTTGACAAGACCTGAAAAACAAGGCAACAGAACATCGTCAGTCACTTAACGCAAAATGAAATGAACACGGCCAAACTTCGAAAAACCCACCAACATTTGTTCGTCAGGTTTTGCGACAGTTTAACAGGTTTGGTGGTTTATCAAAATAAACAAGCATAACATGCAATAAAAATTCTCAACCCCGAGGTGCGATGATAGCATCTAGTAAATGTTCCCAAGAAGTAAATTTTGTAATTTTTCTGTGCTCTTTTTCTCAATTGGAGACCGCAAAGTGAATCATGTTCGCGGGGTATCAAAGCCAAAATTAATTAACACGAGCATATTCGAGTCGACAATAATTTTGGGGGATGGCGTTACCGGGATTAGGGAAGATTTGTTTTTCAAAATAAATCAGCAGCTTCCGACGGTGGCGTCTTAACGGGGTACAACCCATCACCTTATCGTCGAATCCACGTATCGTCGAGTTCTCAATGCTCGACGAAACCAAGGGTTTGTTTTGATACACATCCTCGGTGGGATTGACAGAGTAAACGTTTTTCTGCGTGCCTGAAACGAAAGAAAGCGACATCAATAAAAAGCAAAAAAAATATTTCAATTCGCTATGAAAGCTCAATTACTCTTGTGTGATCCCACGTCTCCGCTTTCTCTCACTGGCACTGGATAACGAAACATGAGCTTATCCCCTTTGCTACCGTCTTTAACCAGGAAAATGCATAATGGATCATTGAGCACAGCCATGCTTGGAGATGCGTCTTCGGCAGAGTACAGACTGTCGGTCATCTTTCCTCCACGTTGAATCGGCATGACGATTGACAACGACCTGCTCGAGAAACGCATTAAAAAACATTTGTGAGAAAGATTAGACCCAAGTTTAAGGTACGACGGATTTTCCCAAATATCAGACGCTTTCGTTCAAAGACACACAACGCAGTTTGTTGGACAAAATTTCACGTAAACCAGCTCATTCAATTTACACACGAATAAGTGAAACAAAATGCAAGTCTAACTTCAAGGAACCAGCAAAAAAGTTCGAGAAAGGAATACGATTGTTTTTTTGGGGGGAGAAGAATTGAGAATAAATTGTGATTAGTGGCATTCTGCGCCTAAAACGTTCTTGTCAATTTTCGCGAAAATATTCTACACTAGCTCATGCTACAAATCCGTTTTTAGTGAGCTAAGACGAAATTAGTCAGGTAAATGAAACCTGAACGCCAATTTTCCTAATTTCTTCAAATTTAAATCCCATCGCTAACGAAATAATCCCTCAATTTGAAATAGGGATGTTTGAGTTACTGCATCAAGGTTCTTCACATGAAAACATGGACTAAAAAAAGGAAGAATTACGAACCTCGAAGGATTTCAAGCACCAGAAGGAACGAATCAGCCACAGCTTCACTTTCAGAACATTTCCAATTCGGCAAAATAGAACTCCACACAAAATTCAACCGCACGCTCTCATCAAATACACACACACACACACAGACCCTTTCACAATCTCTCGCCGATACGATATTCAACCTGAAATAAAAACGAGGACCACAAAACCAATTCCACGGATATATAACTAATTACACATCCGATCTGTCGACTCAAACTTACACGAAATAATAAAACTGAAGATGGAATTCGAATTTTTAAAACGAAAAAAAAAAAGAAAAAAGAATTCGTGCAAAACGAAGGACGTCGAATGATGGAAATGAAAAGAAACAAGAATCAAAAACGTACATATCAAAGTGAAAACATTCAAAAATTAAACTACACATAAACCGCTGTTCGAATTTCAAACACCTAGTTCCTTCAGGGCTGATTCATCAAACTCCATCTCGGAGTTCCAGTCATCTTGAATCGAAACACTGGACTCCTCTTTCACTTCTTTCACTGCTGCTGCACTGACGACTAAAAAATTCGAAAAATGAATTATTATCAAACCATTTTCAATCAACCATGACGCAAAAACGACTAACTTCCAAACTGATCCTGCTTTCCGTGTCTGACTTCTTGGCTAGCTTCAAAGTATTGATTCGGATGATTGATCCCCACCGAGTTGCTCGGGAGATTGTGAGTATACTGGAATACTTTACCGCACGCAATCTGGTGGTGATTTTCCCTCTTCGTGTCCAAAACATCTTGAATGGCTTTAAGAAAAAAAAAATTTAATAAATGAAGCAAAAATGTTGACGAACCACGAGTCCCCAAAAAAGACAAAAATCTAACCAGGTTCGGAAATTTTCAAAGCCTTGAGCTTCGCACGCAGCGATGTCACATCAAAATGGGCGAATGGGCACCCATGGGTTTCCTGGGCCCCGGGATGCTGCTGAATTATCTTCATGCAGCTGAAAGGCCGATAATCTGCACGTTTTCCTTCTTTACCGTAGCCGTGACGGAACGAATACGCGTACTTCTTCTCAAACTGAAAAAAATTTACACAATTACCGTACACTCAAAAAAAAAATAGAGCATAATACAGTCAACCCTCGATTTAGTGCAAGAAATTCCCCTGGATGAAATCTTCCTTTATTGTGTTCTTAGAGGAAATCTCAATTTATTGCCAACTCAGTGCAACAAAAATGTCTTCTCTTGGATGAAAAATGGGCTAAAATCGAAGAAATTAGGGCCTTTCCGAGGGATACCATCAGGTTATTATTGATAATCACATGTCCATACTCACAGAAAAATTCAGGACATTTTGAACATTCTATTTTTGCATTCACGCTATTTAAAAATATTTTGATGCGGCCTGGCAAATTCCTCAACTGAAAATTTTATAAATAAAACGAGATCTTCCTTTGATGAATTAATGATTCCTGCAGGACAGCACGTGTTATAAAACTCGAACAAGCTTCAAGCAACAGCTCTGTTCTTTCACTAGACACTAAATGTGCACAAATCTAATAAATTCTGACTTATCAAATGGACTCGAACACGGAATATAAAACTCGCAGTTGAGCTTCAAATTATTTTTTTTAACTTTCTCTCGTATCAAACAGACTCAGTGGCCCAACGATTTCGTATAAGCTCATTTTTCCTACAAATGAGACCCTCAACTGAACCTTTTTCTCATACGATAACCTACATTCAGTGCCGTAAAAATACAATGACACAAAGAGGTTTGTCTGTAATCGCCGAAATACCTTCTCCGGCTCTGTTTTCCCCTTGGCGAATTCCGTTCGGAACAACTGCAGGGAATCTTCAAGGGATAATCCGATTCCTTTGAAGAAAAGATTGAGCTGGATGCGGGAAAAGTGTTTCAGATGATGTTGCGTTTTCAGAATGTCATACAGATGCTTCATGCACAAGGGGAATGATTCTTCGGCAACCTGCGAACAGAAATCGATTTCAGGAAATTCGTCATTTTAAAAACTAGCGCATCAAATTTTTACCACGTGCAAATTTTCCAGTGAGATCCTTCCACTTCCTTGACGACCTCTTTCGTATTCGGGGCCGATGTAAGAATTGTGGAAATTGCAAACCAATGGTTTCAGTCTTTCGTCCTTTTCCAAAGTCGGCAACATGTGACTCAACAGCTGCCAAGAGAGATAATACATTCATAGATCAACGAATCTAAGATTAACAGGATTCTTAGGTTCAAAAAATGAATTCTTTTACTTTTTAAAAATAAATCACAAGGAGAGCTCACGTCATTAATTCAAGTTTCTCCTCTGGGAATTTGAGAAAGTATCTGGGTTAATCACAGATACCGATAAATTCAAAGATGCGTCTCAATTTCGCAGATTATACGAAGCAACATTAGTGATGATGACAACACAGTGGAATAAATGAGAATCCAAGACATGCTTCAAATGTTTAACTATTCGACAGAAAATTCCATATAACGGGGACCAAGAAATAACCACGTATCTGACGACAAAATCGCACGAATAAGATGCATGGAAATCACGGAATGCGAATTCACTAAAACTGTGTCTCTTGATGTCTAGCAAACACTTGCATGATTGCCACATCACTTCAACAGAAGAGGAAACTGTCAGCGAGAATACTGTAGTTCACAGACACCTTAATCGGACATCATGCACTTCAATATGATCAATAAACTCACCGCAAGGGCTCGATTGAGACGCGATTTGAATGTCTGCAGTATAATGGAATTCAAGTCTTGATCCGCAACATAAGCCATTCCACCTTCTAGGTAAGCTTTTCGGGAACGAACCAGTTCTAACGCCTCGTAAAACGGAACCTTGTAAAACACGGTTTTCTCCACTGTCGAGTACAAGTTTCCTGATCCGTAGAGCGCACTAGTACCTTCAGCGAGACACTGCAGCCTTTCCTTCTTTTCTGCTACTGTCACCTTGAACCGACAATTTCAAAAGCTTCAGTTACGTGAAAAAGCCTTCCACTCGTCATCTTTTCGGCTACCGATTCGGAAAATTTGAGTCCACAACGGCGTATGAAGGCTTTCTTTTCATCCGCTGAAATCCTGGTGAGGCGGTAACGGAACAAATCCGCCTCTTGAGTAACGAACCACCTGCGTAATGTTTCAGAACGACAATACGCTAATCTTAGGACAAAATGCGACAAATAGTCTCGCTTTCTAGCTTCTAGAGCTGCTTCCATGGCTTCCGGCGTGTTCGATGATTCCTAATCAATGAAATAATGTTGGAATCACAAAATATGACCTGTTGATCGAATGTTTTACTCACCAGCTTCAAATATGGGCGTAAATTTTCCACTTTGGATATTTCTGCTACGATACTTTTCTCCCAATCAGGCATGGTCCCTGCACGTTCAACCGATCGAAGCACTGAGAGACGAACTCTGTTAGTCATCCATTCAAGTTGAAATTTAAAAAACATACATTGGAGCCTCTCGATTGCAAGCTCATCCAAGCATTGCAATGATATGATGTCTGATGGAGGATCTTCAAACATTGATACTGGAGCGGGAAAAAGCTTTTCCAGACCAGCCTGCTGCACTGACAAATGAAAGTTCCTTTTCCGCGAGATGCGGCTCATGCGAGGATTTAGAATCTCCATGATTAAGACGACTTCCGAGCACTATCCCTATTACTACGAACAGTTCATCGACGGCGCAGGAGGGAGAACGCGGAAGTGAAGGCTAATGAACACCTGTTCCAACGACAACCGCGAAAACGCGACTCATACTCGGGGCTTCCATAATAATTTTACAAAGAGCTGCTGACATATATCAAAGTTTCCGATTCATAATTCCTCATAGAAAGCGGGTCCTTTCAAATCATCGACAAACAACTTATAAAACATTGAAAAAATAGGCGTGAAAGTCTAAAATTAGCAATATTCCAATAGAGCTGGAAAATCACACGGGGCTTTCAACAGAATTTCAAAACGCTTATCCTGTCTGTTAGACTAATCCTAAATCACCTCAGATGATATAAGGTCAATCAAGAATTGAATTCTCAAGCAATTTATTTGTGACAGTTTTTATAAATCTGAATTCAAAGCCCGCAATAGCAACAATATAATTATCCTTACTGATAAATTGTTTGGGTTTTCATTGGAATTGAAGCATATTTATTCTGACAATATTCAAACCCCATGGATATTCCAACATGCTCAAAATCTTTCATTCAAATTATTCAAGGGATTGCATGGGGGTATCATGGTTAACGAACACCCCTCCCAAACAAATCACCCCAGCTTAAAAACTTCACATTTACGCAGCTTTCAAAGAAACTCGGATCTAAACTACAGTATATAAGTTCCAAAAATGTCCTTGAGAAAAGTTTTGCACTGCTTCCAAATGTGGGACATTTCCTGCAAAGAAGAAATACAGTACTTGGGATATGTCACAGAATTGAAGACATATGAGAGCAGGGTTACCATATTCAGATGAGTACCATGCACCCTCAAGTAAGGCATTTTATTAGCGCACAATTTGGATACAAATGTATTCCTGCATAAGACAGGCACCCTCTTTCCAGTAAATTTGAAAAAAAGTGTGCATAGTACTCAAGTAAATACAGAAATATCGCTTCTCTGGAATTATATAAATAAATAAATGTGGAGAACAGATTCAATTCATGATGTGATCATATACATTTCAGCTCCACTCATCAAATTGCTTGATCAATCAGCTACCATGTGAAAAGAATGAAAACAAGAAAAAATTGCACATGCGATTCTGCCTCTTCTTCTTGAGTAGATCTCCTCAACCACACTCAAATTGGCATAATCAACACAATTGTTCTCTCATCATCAGTAATATCCCATCCCAATAAGCAAATGCGCCTGATGGCTTGTTCCACCTTTTGAAAAAAATGGATGATCCAACTCTACATCTGACCAAAAGTGATCTGAGTTCAAATCTTGAGAAAATTGTATAACATGTTTTTTCTTTGTCAATATTTGCATGATGTGAGATGATTCAAACCAGGGCTGAAGCACTTCTCACTTCAGCCTGACCCCAGTTGTAGCGCCTGCTCAAACACACTCCCATTTGACAGTTTCTTTTGCTGACCACACAACAGAAGAGAAAAAGAAAACCCTCAGACAGATGTAAAAAAAAGGCATGAAGAAGGACCCAATCGCCCCCGAGTTTAATCACCAGGTATGAGATCAAAATGGCTTCTACCTCCCAACATTTTTAGAATTTTTTTTCTTTGGTTTCAGTTCTAATCAAATTAAAGGGCTTCGAAATCTTCCGTTTCGGGGGGTTCCACTGAAGAGACCAACAATCGTCTCACCACCAGGAATTATTGCATCTTTCGATCAGCTCACTGGGAAATAAAAAGCAGCAGTTGAGATCAAGCTCCTCATGTGCTTGCTGATTGCAGCAATGACCAAAAAACCAAACTCAAAATGAACCCGACACAAACAAAGGCACTTATCACAGAAATAGTAACCAGATCCACTTGACCCAACCAACAAAAAACAAAAACACTCATTACTCTCATCTTTTTGGACTTCCTGGCTTTTTTTTTACCTCTCCTGGACGGCTCTATTTCAAAAACAGAGAACACAATTTCGGCTACGCTCTCCAGCACTGCACTAACACCTAATAAATGAATAAAAAAAGAAATGCAAAAAACCACATCATTGCAGACAACTTCAGCTCCGTCACCACAACAGACAAATGCACTCGCTATAGATGTAACAATGGAGAGGTGGAAAACAGTGGCCAGATGATGACAGCATCTGCAGCAGGGAGTAAGAGCATCCAGGTCTAACTACAGACCCCACACCAGGCATTATGCTGCTGCTGACAATGATGCATCTAAAATATATTTTCAAAAAATACAAAAATTGACATTTAGAAAAGAAAGAATAATCCTCATTTTTGTTTCCTACAAACCTGAGCTATAACCCGAAGGTTCCCAGCAGGGAAAATATCAAGACGGAAGCAACCACAATGCCGCATCCCAGCATCATCAGTTTTTTCTGCAAAAAAAAAAACATACCGCATTTACGCAAACATCGGCAGATTTTTTATATGCGCAAAATTAGAATTCCATCAATACGCGAATACATGTGGACTCTCTCTACAATGAAATTGAAAAAAAAAATCACTGAATTGCAAACGAGAATTCGTTATACAAAGAAAATCGTTGATGACAGAGCCCACCTGTATGAGCAACAATTTACGTTCCTGGTGTTTAGGAATTTAAAATTTGACTAAATTTAGGTGCTTCCCAGAGAAAGGAAAAACAGAGACAAACAAAACAATTGTTCTTCCCCTCTCAGTCAACAACTCATGCATCTTCAAGTACTATAAGCTGACCATTTCTTGATTATTTTCACCTTCAATTTTATAATACCAGAAGAAAAATACTGTACTCAATTGTTTTGTGGGTCAAAACAGAAAGATTTCATTTTTACATGAATTGCATGAAAATGCAAATACAGAAAAATCTTGTAACAAAAAACTTTTGGGGACTTCAGAAAAAGTTTGTTGCACTAAACATTTTTTATAACCAGATTTTCCAAATTACTGACTGGAAAATATTTCAACAGCAGATCTGCATAAAATCAATTACATCTTGTTTCTCTGACATTATCAGATTTTGACATTATTTTTTGAAATACAGTAACTGAGAGATGTTCTGAAAAAAAAAGCTTGAATCTTCCATTCCACCAGTTGCACAAATCTCTTCATTCCGGGAGGAATTTTGCATGGAACCACTTGGAAGCATGTTTAACATGGATTATTGGTTCTCTCTGATCCCTAAGAACCAGTCAGTCACATTTGGGATCAGAAATTTCAGACTATGCCTGTCAAAGTCAGGAAATTTCCACCTGGAGAATCTGTAAACATTCCACAAAAAAGGTGTACTGAACTGAAATTGGGGACTTTGTTATGACAAGATTTCTTTAAACACAAAATCCAATGGATTTTCCACCAGTACTTGAGGAAACATTTGTTGTAGCAATACTTTTATTGTGTAGGCTCCCCTCCATCTAGTTTTCGAGCTTTTAAAATTGACAAAAAATGGGGTGCTCACGTTTGCGAAAATATTGTAAATATTTGCGTGAAAATGGGAGAAGGAAATACTGACTTTCCGAGCTTTATCCTGGTAGGCTTTGGCTTTGCGCATGTCCTCGGTGGCTCGCGCAACGTAATCCTTGGCATGCTCCACATGGTACTCAATTCGATCAATCATTTCTCCTTGATTCTCAATCAGCATCGCCATGTCCATGAACATGTCATGTAGCTCTCGGATAGAGTTCTCCAGCTTCATCAGGTCCTCGTGTCGAGATTCAATCTCCTGCAGCATCTCCTTGTTTATCTTAGCGTCCACAATGATCTATGAAAAAAAAACCACTGTAAACTCAAATTCATTGCGCGAAAAATGCACGATTACCCTCAGAAAATTTTGCACCAGAAATTAATTTAAATCAGAATTCGGACCCAATGAAAAATCAAAATCGATCACTTTTGAATTGCATTACTTCATTGTATGAATATTTTTAAAGTTTCATCCTGAAAAATGTCGTTGAAATACAGAGGAAGGTCAATTTTCAACAGCCACACTTGAAAAACTAATAACCGATCCATAAGTTGAGGGCTTCTGATAAGCACACGCGTTCGTTCATGTTCATTGCGTCTGACAAAATTCTAGAAAAATTGTATTTGCACTGAAATAAAATTTGGCAGAAGCGAAGACAGTCTTAAGTCAGATGGAGAATATTCGCGATCGATTTTGAATCGTTTTTGTGTCACTTGTTTACGTTATGTCATTGTTACGATTATTTTTAAATTCTCGTCTTTGAAATTTCTAGGGAAATTCAGAGAAATACTCATTTTCCACTGTCATACTTTAAAAACTATTCTTTTAAAAAGTACACGCGTTTATGCTCAATACGGCTGTGAAAAATCCAGGAACGGTTTATTCGCACTGAAATCAAATTCGGCAGAAGCGAAAACGGTCTGGAATCAGATAAAGGATGTTCGCCAATTTCAGTTAGTTTTGAAACAGAACGAGCTCGAATATCGGCGCACAATTCCGTCAATCACTCTCAAAAGACAGTCTTGCATTACAGATATAGGATATTCGCCAATTTCGGCAGAGCTTAGTCGGTTTTGAAACGTAAAGAATTCGAAAGTTCAAAAAAATTCGTCAACCACAGTCATGTATCAGATGAAGGATGTTCGCCAATGTCGGCAGATTTTAGTCAATTTTAAAACATAATGAGTTCGAAAATCGGCACACAATTTTGCCAACCACCGTCAAAACAGTATCTTACATCACTGGTGTATGCTGACGTAGTCCCCTTTGATAACAGGTCTTCGACTTCATTGTCTGTCACCTCTTTCCCAGCTGTCAAATAAATGAAAAAAAGAGCAAGAAATGTTTAAATACGACGCTCGAGATTTGATTTTTTTCTTTCTAAATAACGCACTGTCAATCAATTGGTCCTTCAACCGCTTCTTTGCCCGGTCGGAATAATCGGTGAGAGCGCCATTGTAGTCATTCATGACATCCACAAACTTCCGGAACAACATGGAATGCTGAGATTTCTTAATGCGCAAATCCGCGGAACCGTTGTCAACCCGCTCGTCTTCTTCAATCTTATGCTCCATCGTTTTTAACTTCATCCGAACCTTGTTGCAATTACGCTTGATTTCTTGCATGATGTCTTCTCGCTCACGACGTTTCTCTGAAGGTGGAATGACGAAAAACATTTTCTTTTTAGCACATGCGTGAGGACAATTTAGCGCGGAGATTCACACAGCGGACGCATTTTAGAAATTTCCGTCATGAAATAAATGAAGCGGTCATTGGCCATTTTTATAACTATTTGACGACTTCAAGTTTTGTTCAAGCATTTTTGGCATTCCAATCAGTAAAACACACGATCAAAATGCAGGTAACTTTAAATTTAGTGCCGAAAAGTGTTTTTTCCAGGTTTGCTCTCACGGGAAACCTCGATTTATCGCCAACACTCAGCGCCACAAAATTGGATGAAAAGTTGACCAAAATAAAAGAAATCAAGGCTTTTTTTCTCGGGATAACATTTGGTTTTCACTTTTCACTGAGAATCGCATTCCCAGGCTTAGAAAATTCAATCATTTAGAAAATTGTATTTGTGCATTTATGCCATTTTAAAAATGCTTTGTGATTGCACAGCATATTCATAGATTGAAAATTTCATAAATGAAATGGGAGCTTTCCTTGAAACATCGATGTTTCCTGCATGACACACGTGATTTAAGACTGAAAAAAAAACTTGTTCTTGCACTAGAAACGATATGTGTAAAAATCCAAAACATTCTGCCACATCATATAAACTCAAATACAGAATAAAATCACTCAAAGTCACATTCAAGAGTTCGAAGCGAGGTGAAATACGATCCCAACATTTTCATCCACTTTCTCACGATTTCCACGACCGAAAGCTGATTTTTCACGAGTGGAAACACTTTTTACGACAGAAACAAAAAAACACTCACTTTCTGCTTCGAAAGGAGACGTGAGGAGGTCAGAGTGAATCTTCCTGATACGATCCACTTTTGCCTGTATTCCTTCCACCTGCTCTCGCACCTCTTCAACCTCCTGAAAGAACTCGCTCATGTAACCCTCGGGGATTTCCATGGCAAATGGCTCGTCTTCGTCGTCATCGTCACCTTGCGCCTGTTCCCAAGGCATCGACATAAAACGAAATCCACGGGAGAAAATGAATGAATGAACACAAAAAAATGGGCGTTTTTCCCCCACTCACTGCTTTCAACGCTGCTAATCTGTCCTTCGTCATGGCCCCACTCGCAGTTTCGCACACTCACGAACTTTTCTCTCTCTCTCTCTTGATCTGTGAGTTACTCTTCGAGACACAAGGAATAAATAGAAAGAAGCCAATTTTAGTCCATGATTTTTTGCCCATGGCCCAGATAAACGGTAATTGCACTACGACACCAGAGCTCATGGTCCCAAAGCAAGCCATCACCAAACACACAGTCCAAGCCAGTGCCAGTCACAACAGCAATGATGACAAATCTGACACAATTTCCCGCAGTTGTTGCCTCAATTCCTCATTTTTTTTTTTTTTTTTGCGGAACCCAGTGCAAAAATTCTTCACCCTTGAAAAATTCTTAGAACTATTCAGGGGTTATTTATGAGCAGAAAAATCAATACCTGATCATTCGAAAGTACAATTAGAATCTTGTTACAATGACATCATTGGATATTGGAAAACAAAATGCTGGTGGAATCCTGCAAATGGTGTAATTAGGATGTTTCTTTACAACAAAATGTTTTGGAAGTTCCAGCTAAAGCATCTACATGACGTTGTCCTGTAAATATATTCAAAGATTCATTAAAAAAAATATTTTGGGGCAGTTCTTCGCATTAATTTTTTTCTTCATGAAAATCACAAATATGCCCAATGTGCTCTGAAGTTTCATTCCGGTCTTTTAACTTAACTCCTCACATCTTCTGAAAAAAGCATTGAAAGAAAATTAGCGTATTTACTCAAGTAACAGAAATTTAAGCAAAACTGATTTTTCAGCTCAAATTTAGGCAAAAAACAAATCCCTGCATAAGGACATGCACCCAGTGTTCAGTGGATTTTCTTAATTGGAAAATTGACCAGTTGAAGTTTTCAAGTCATACTTGAATAAAGCATGAATTCTTACCTGCATTTGTTTTCTATTTAATCTCACATATAACAGCTTTTCTACTCATAAAAAATTCCAAAATGTAATTCAACTATCCATTGGCCTACATTTTAATTTCACACACACAGTTTGTAAGTTTCTCAAGACTCCAACTGACTTGATTCAAAGACAATGGAAATGTAAACAATAATCAGGGAAAATTCATGCCCAAGTATGATACACATTTACTACAAATTTTTGCAGCAAAATGTATATTTTTTTACTTTTGCAACTGCATGAAACTTTGCTTGACAGTGCTGATTTGGTCCAAAAACTCCATAGTTCACTAACTTATCAAATGCCTGGCAAAATTTTCTCCCTGAGTAAGATACGCGCCCCATTTTCAGTGAATCTAAACTGTAATATCTCCAAAAAAACCAAATTTTTAATTTTGACATGAATTTCAATCACAGTAAGTTTTTGTGTTAAAATGAGTACAAAATTTCACATTAGAATCAAATAACTTTTCAAAAAATGTATACCTTCCATTGAAAATCACCTTGTTCCCTTTAAATATTGAGAGAAAGGCACATGTGGTACTTGAGTAAATACATTGATCTCAGAACTCAGGAAAATGCTGTATGAAAATGTAAGTATCAAACAATCTTGTTGAAACTTGAAACAGTTTTTTTCTTCTAGGATACCCAGTTTCAACTATACAACAAAGCCACTGGAACAAAGGATAAAATTTGTCATGATGAAAAAGTTTTTACATCGAGACTCAAGGGAGATCGAGGCTATACTGCAGGATCTAAAAAGATTTCGCTGTCCGCAAGAATTCGTTACAACAATATTCTACGACGTAAGCATATGTACAGTTTTAAGCATGAAATCGCCAAGAAGCCAAGGGACACACGTCAGTCAGGGAGTACAAGTGAAGAGTATAACGGGAAGACGGGGTACGAGAAAGAAACACTGCACCTCTTCTCCCGCAAGACCCAAAAGAATTCACAAAAGAAGGAAACCACCACCACCATGATCAATGAACAAGCGGAACAAGGAAAGGAACGAAGGGAGGGGTCCCAGGAATGAATGCTTCCACAAAGCACTGCTCACACACCTCAGTTGGCTCTCTGAAACACAGAACACAAAAAACAATTGGAGGCCTTGCGTGAGGAAACCCAGCAGAACACCGAAAAGATCATGTTAATTTCCATCCTAATAATTTGCCGAACTCGTTCAGCACACCTACTGCAAACCGAACTAGGCTACCACGAACCACCGATCACACAAACATAGCAACACTGCATGAACCAAAGCGGTATTAATCGTAACTCACGGGTACACGAGGAAAAATGAACCGCAAGACACAGCAATGGCTATACAAGAACTGAAACCCAGAGCTAGTGCATGTCACCGAAGGTGCACGAGATATGAACGAGTAAGAAACTGCAGTTACCTCATTTTCACGCGAAGGTTCAATCAGACTGCATCTGCTCAATGCCGAAGTTGTTTGCATCCCGCAGCACGCGGGCTTTCATCTAATGACCCTATGAAGACACAAAATACCACGATCACAACAAGATTGAGGGTATTCTGAAATTCAAACTAGTCGAACCAATCAGAACGGCTTTTTCCACGGGATGAATCACGTCCGTGTCCTGCGTCGAATAAAATAAGATCCGCCCGTTCTACTTCGCAGAAAAGCCGCTCTGCGAAGCACATCGCATCTGCAGGCTTTTTTTCGTGACTTCACTGCACTCGAGAAGCCATATCTTAGATGCTCATCATGAAATCTGCCGAAATTCTGCTTCAGAAACATTTGATTGCCATAATGAAATAGATTTCCTGGACGCACGGGCAGTGACTGACCCTTCCAGGTGAAAATCACGTAATGCTGCGTCTGGAGGCAATGGAAGGTGCAGACGGTTCATCTCGTTTTGGTTTCCACAGGGAGTGTACGAAAGTCGCGAGACAGCAGGCGTCGACATGACGAAGTATCACAGCTCTGAAAGAGAATCGAAAAATTGTGGAGGACGCAAAATTTCACATTCAACAATTTCACTCGAGCAAAACCGACGCTTTTCGCATCCGACACTTGATCTAATCCAGAAATTCAACACGAAGACGACTTTCATCACGAAAAATAAGATTTATGCGAAGAGGCACGGAAACTGAATGCGTAAAGGAAATATCATCCTAGGAACGGTAAATCCTTTGGGCATGTCGTTCGTGTCAATGTTTCTCCAAGTTCTCTTTCAGAAAACCAGGGGACAATGAAAAAAGAAATGAGGAAAAGAAGGGTACACTAACACTTGAAAACTTCACTACCATACACTCAGGAACGCCGCCATGTTTTCTCGTTAACTCCTCTGTCCGCGATGTTCGACTCTCTCCCTCATTGCTGACATCTATGAATGTCACAAACCAACATTCTTACCTGGGGACATTCCAGGAAGGGCTTTTATTTTGCTCAAAGTGCAAACAAAAGGCACTTTTAAGTTGTAAAACTTACTTCTGCTTGATTTTGATGACACGGATGTGCGAGTTCCTCAAACCTCGATGCAAATGTTCATTCTACATGCTATGAGACTGAGAGATACTGCTGCATGCTGTGATGATTTTGAAAATTTTTAAATTTTGATTGAATAATAAACTTGCAAGAATTTTCTTGGTGCATTAGGGTTGAATAAATTGAAAATTTTGTCAAGTTTGGAAGATTACTTTCGACAGCTATTGTACTTTGATTCAGGGAAAAAAAGATTTTGTTCTGAAGCAGACACCCTTTTTAAGCTTAGTGCATTCAAGTGATGATGATTATCTGCAGGCAATTTCTTGATAGGAAAAATGCTTTAAAAACTTCATAGCACCAACTACAGTAGTTTTCGTCTACGTAATCTCATCAGCATGAAGAATTGCCTTGATGATTATGTGAGCATGGGCCATAACAATTTTGATTAATTGGCACAGTTATAAGGGAAAGTCAAACTTGTTGTGCATAAAAAAACCTTCAAAAAATGCTAATGCTTTTGTACAGAAATTGCAGCATTTTGCAGGAGGCATATATGAAGATAAAAAAATAAAAATGTATTCAACCTAACTTTAGAATTTATAAATGGCTAATTTTTGAAAGGAAATTACTGTGTTATATGTTTGAAAGAATACTACTCCATTTTGGTGAATATACAGCAGGTCTTGATGAGTAAATGCTATTCTTACAAATATGTTTTCTGTTTGTTCCAGCTGCTTATATGCCTCAACTGTAGTAATATTCTCCTATATAAAGAAGCATTTTTAGAAAAATTAGGGAAGGATTAATGGTTTGAAATAAGAATATAAGAAATATAAATACATTTATTTCAATTAAAATTATTTATGCAGTATTTTAATTTATATATTTATGACTTGAACATATATAATACTGCATGTATAAGTGTATACATATTTTTATATTCATTATATATGTTCAAGTCATATGTCACATATTCATCTGTAGTTTGATGACGTGTATAAATATACTGTATAACGTCGAATACGTGAGCACATCCACCTTTTCCAACTGATAACCTTTATCTCTCACGTTTTGATGAGAGGAATCTTTTCCCTTCCACGACGGAAGTTTACATATAAATACATTGTATAAACATATACACTTTCTCCACAATATAAGAGAAACACGCGTTGAATTCGTTTATGTAATATTCTATACTCGTATTCTCTGTCACGATTTCGAATGATTCGCGCCCCCACGAAAATTCGAGTGGTTTACTATAGTTGAAGATCGCAAAGACTCACGTTATTTAGAATTAAAAAAAAAATTGAATCAGAAGAGGAATCATTTTTGCAGTGAGATTATTTGACGATGGTGCATAGAGTGTTGCATAAGGGCAGTTGTCATTGCGGTTCTGTCAAGTGGCAGGTTTATGCTGATGAGGAAATCAGCATCATTGAATGCAAGTGGGTTTCATTTTTTGCAACAACAAAAATTGAAGAATCAATGTGTGTGTTTGTGTGCTAATAATAGGACCTTTTTCCTTATTATTCAAGTTTAGGGATTCAATATTGAAGAAAAAAATTTATTTGGAATGTTGAATACAGTATGCAGCTTATTCTCAGAGTACAGTGGCCCCCCGCCTAACATACCTCCCATGTAAGGGATTTTTGCTGAACAGACCAGCTCTGCAAGCAGTTTTTCCTCCCGCCCAACAGACAAAATCCGCCAAACAGACTTCTTTTGGTTTGAAATTAGTGTTGAAAATTGAAATTTTAATTTTTTATGTAATTGAATTCGTGTAAAGGACTTTTTGTCTAACAGACTTGTCCCTTGCACTAATCAAGTCCGTTAGACGGGGGTTGACTGTACAGTGAAATATTCTTTCACAATACATTGGGGTGTTTGTATATATGCAAACCTAATCCATTCCTGATGACCAAAGTTTGTTAACCAAATCTGTATAGTTTGTTAACTGGATCACATTTTCCTTTAACCCTTGTGGATGGTGTTGAGGAGAAAATGAGAGAGGAATAAACCAATGAAGGTTTCCTGCATCAATTTCTTTGATTTTTTTCTATTTGTGGTCAATCAGAGGCCAGAGAATATCCAAGGATGTTCTGGAATTTTCTGGTCAGGTGACCTGACCAGGAAATTCCAAGAGAATTATATAAGCTCCAAATAATATAAATTTCAAAATCAGTCTGTCACGAACTCTTGGACGATCATCTTTTTCATTTTAAATGATTTGTGTGCACAAATCTGTATTTTTCCTGCGTGTTATTATACCCTGAGTGGGGAAATTGGTGCACACTGGGGATATGTTTGTAATTCTACATCGTGACCCTGCTGTGCACCTGAAGTGTACCAAAGATCTTCTGTTGCACATGCATATCCCTAATGTGCACCAATTGTGTGTTCACACCAGGATTACTCAGGGTGCACATTATGCATATCCCTAATGTGCACCAATTGTGTGTTCACACCAGGATTACTCAGGGTCACATTTGTAAACAAATAAGTTACACCAAGGTTACAGTTGGTACGTGCATTTGTGTGACACTCCTGTTATGTCACATTTGTGCACCAAATGTAGCCCAGGAATGGAAGCAAAATTTTGTCTACAATGGGGCATGCTTGTAACCCCAGAATACCCCATGTACACCAATTGTGACCCCACTGTGCACCATTTGTGGGGTCACACAAACATTAGCTCCCCACTTGCTTATATTGAAATGCATGTGTTATTTAAATCTGTAGTGAGCATTATTGTTTGTGTTTATTCTTGAATCTATTCAACTCTGCTGAAACTGTTGATATAGAAATTATTGAAAAACCGGGGACATATATTAAAGGAAACTGCTTGAATATGTGTTCTTGGCTTTCAAAAGGCCAATTGCCTGTATTTTTATTTATATTCTTTTGTGATCCTTGATCACAGATGGCACAGCAGCCTCCTATTTCCATATATCCCAGGGCAAAGTCAGACTTTATTTTGTTGGGCCAGCATTTAATTTTCATCCAAGGTTATGCAACCCCATGCCACCTGGAGGAGAAGAGCACCATTAGATTTTATCCTGGGATATGAAGAAATGCAGCAAAAGTCCAAAGTTGGACTTTTCTTGGAGTGACCTCTAGCGTGGGCTCCTGGCTTTCAAGCTCAAATTTAATCTTTGAATGGGGAACAAGTGAAGCTTGAAGATTTTCTATTTATTTTATATTTATGAGTAAAAATTTTCTGTGAAAAAAATACAGTTAACCCCTGCACCATGGACCTAAAATGTTTTTAAAGAATAGCAAGCATCATGAACATCATGATGAGGAACATTTTTATATTTTTTTTTACATTTTAAAATATTTAAAAAATGTGCAGAATTGGGAAAACCCTTGAATCTATGCATATTTTCTTTAGCAATTTATTCCAGTGCAGATTAATATTTGAAAAAAAAAGTCCTGTGATCCATAAAACAATTATTTTGACACACACACACACCCAAAAAATCAGCGTTACAACGATATTCCTTGTTAATTAAATTTGTTTATTTTGACTGCTGGTTAAACACATTATTTCTTGATGGAATATCTTTTGAATTTAATCTCTCATATTGTCATATTTGATAATTCCGATTTTCAGCTGCTCCGTGTGCAAAAAGAAGCACAGCAGGTACTTTATCGTACCTCTGGACCATTTCTGCATCACTGCCGGACACGAACATTTGCTAACGTACTCCTTCAACACTCACACTGCCAAACACAATTTCTGTCGTACCTGTGGTGTGCAAAGCTTCTTCATCCCCAGAACAAATCCAGACGCCGTCGGTATGAGCATCAATTTTTGATTTTTTTTGCAAAAAATTGAATTCTGATCACATTTATTGACAAAATTTTTTTGAATTTAGGGATAATGCCTCATTGCATCGACAGCCTGACGGTGAAGAAGGAAAAGATCATCAAGTTTGATGGCATGAACTTCGATTCTGCAGTGAAGAAAAACAGGGCAATGCTGATGAAATTGGCGCGCAAAGAAAGCTGTGTCAACTTGAAGCTGAGCAACATTCATTGACAAGAGAAAAAAAACAATAAAGGAAAAAATTGTGAGGTCATCTGATTCCATAGAATAATAGGAAATATAATGCAAAAACATCCCAATCCTCAGGAAAGCCCTAAATTATGATAGGGAACACTTTTGAATTGAACATTTTTATTCTCATTTTGGCCAGTTGAGAAATGAATGAAAGATTTTCTGCATAACAAAATATTTCTTTCCCATTCAAAGCTTTTTTTTTCAAGAACACACCTGTTATTTATTGTAACCATAAAAAGGGCAATAAAATATTTCTGTGAGCTTTTGGTCTCCTTTTTTCTGATTTTTTGTACAAGTTGAATCAGCTTTGCATTTAATAAGCAATTTTTGGATTATTGTGCCACTGTGATGGAATTCTTGAGAGAACAGTTAAAAAAAATTTTATTGAGAGAAAATGCACATTTCATCACCAGCAATCTAGATATAAATACTGCATGTAAAATTGAAACTCAATGAAAACTTGGACCTCCCTAAAAATCAAAAATCTCCCAATGTCAAAATTTTGTTTTCAAGTCCCTGCCTGAATTCCCTTAGAAACAATGCATTAGAAATCTCCCTAACTCAAAGGCTCTCCCCCTCAAACCTCCATAACTCAACTTTGTTAGAGGCCTTTTGGCTATTATTGTTTAAAACATTTAAGAGAAAAGCAGTTTATTTTTTTAGCTTGATGCACTTTTAAAATATTGTAAGTGAAAAATGAATTTGGAAAATGAACCCTTGCCTCATCCAAGTTCAGGATCATGTCACCTCATTTAAGAATCAATTTAAAGATGAAAATGTCACCAATTACCATTTCCTTTAATTTTTCTTTCTTTCCTGCAACAAAAAAAAACTTGTTCTTTCAACTCAAAACATGCATAACTCAATTTTTTGCTGGTTCCCTTATTCAAGTTTGACTTTATTGACAGGTTCATGCTGTATATGCACAGTAAGAACCCCACATGCAGACACCTTGACATGCAGACAATTTGACATAGAAACACTTATTTTCCCATAAAAAATTAATAAAAAGGCCCAAAATGAGGAAACTGACTCAACATAGGGACATTTTGTGATAAAATTGCAAATAAGACTCAGGCCAAATTACAAGAAACAGATATTTCCAATGCTAAAAATGATGTAAGAAAAGTTCTTGCGCATTTCTCTCACCAATTTACCATCCATTTAGCTAATTTTAAAAATTACCTCAAGCATAGAGGGGCTTCTTTCTCTCTTTTTCATTTGAATGATATTTTTATAGAGAATATCAACATTTCTTTGCACTGTCCAGAGGTATCAGTTTTCAGTTCCCCAAATTTCCATAATGTATTGTGTTGAAATATATTGATTGAATCAGTTGAAATTGGGAGAAAATTTTTATTTTCATGGAATTAAGGTATTTTGTCCATAAAACATCAATTAAAAATTATATAATGTAAGTCTAAGGGAAAATGAGACTTGTTCTATGTACTGTACAGAGGTATCAGTATTCAATTCCCCAAATGTTCATAATATTGTGTTGAAACATATTGATTGAATCAGTTTAAATTGGGAGAACATTTTTATTTTCATGGAATCAAGTTGAGTATTTCGCCAATAAAACACCAATTAAAAATCATATAATGTAAGTCTAAGAGAAAACGAGACTCCATACGTGGGGAAATTTCAACTTAGGGACATTCTTGATGCACCAATCATGTCCACATCCGGGGGCCTCATATATACATTTTTGTATTTTTTTATACTTCCTGTTCAAAAATTGCCCAATCCCAACGAATGTTGGCCACAGCCATCAGCTGGTAAAACGCTCTTGTGCGTGAGTCGCCATTTGTTATAGAGAGAAAGAAAAAAAAACCCAGCTCTTCATCATCCTATATAATATATATACATATATATATAACAGCAGCAGCAGGAAGACACCCTCAGGGCATGAACGAACGACGAGGAGGCAATAAAAATTTCACAATGTATTTAAAAATAAATAAAAAAAAGTTGTGCAGTAGCCGGAACTCGAACATTAACTATTACCTGATCTCACACGCACTTCTGATTCCTCTCTTTCCCTTTGCGTGTCCTGCTTCTATTATTACATACACACATCCCTGGTCTTGTGTCATTTTCCTCATCATCATCATCATCATCATCATTTATAACAAATTTCATTTTATTTATAAAAACATCCGCGCGCCGAATTCGAGTTGCGCAAAAAACCGCGTTGCCAAATAATGCTACTGTATACGTATGCGTATCTATATGAAGAGAGAGAGAGAGAGAGAGAGGGAGGGCGGGGAGGGAGGCAGGCGAAGCAAGACAGAACACGTGTGAGAAGGGGCTTCGCGAAAGTTTTATAAATCGCCAAGAAGCAGATGAGAACTTATTCGAGTATGAGGCATTATTTTCCAGCAGAGGATGCATACTTTCATATCAATTTGAGCTTCCCCAGACAGATATTCTTATGGAAAAAGGTCAAGTTGAAGATATGCAGCAATTTTGTTAAATTATTGTCTCATGACTTGTTGATTATGTTGCAGAATAAAATGAGGCATGTCTTTAAATATGAGGCATGTCTTCAAATATGATGTATGTATTCAAATATGAGGTATGTCTTTAAATATGAGACATGTCTTTAAATATGAGGCATGTCTATTTAAATATGAGGCATGTCTATTTAAATATGAGGTATGTCTTTAAATATGAGGCATGTCTACTTAAATATGAGGCATGTCTATTTAAATATAATGCATGTCTTTAAATATGAGGTATGTCTAATGAGTATGTTTTTAAATATGAGGTTTGTATTTAAATATGAGGTGTGTATTTAAATATGAGGTATGTATTTAAATATGAGGTATGCATTTAAATATGAGGTATGTATTTAAATATGAGGTATGTATTTAAATATGAGGTATGCATTTAAATATGAGGTATGCATTTAAATATGAGGTATGTATTTAAATATGAGGTATTTATTTAAATATGAGGCATGTCTATTTAAATATGAGGCATGTCTATTTAAATATGATGTATGTCTTTAAATATGAGGCATGTCTACTTAAATATGAGGCATGTCTATTTAAATATAATGCATGTCTTTAAATATGAGGTATGTCTAATGAGTATGCTTTTAAATATGAGGTTTGTATTTAAATATGAGGTATGTATTTAAATATGAGGTATGTATTTAAATATGAGGTATGCATTTAAATATGAGGTATGTATTTAAATATGAGGTATGTATTTAAATATGAGGTATGTATTTAATTATGAGGTATGTATTTAAATATGAGGTATTTATTTAAATATGAGGCATGTCTATTTAAATATGAGGCATGTCTATTTAATTATGAGACATATCTTCAAATATGAGGTATTTCTTATAAGGTATATATGAGGTATGTCTATTTAAATATGAGGCATGTCTATTTAATTATAAGACATGTCTTCAAATATGAGGTATGTCTTAGAAGGTATATATGAGGTATGTCTTATAAGGTATGTATGAGGTATGTCTTATAAGGCATGTATGAGGTATGTCTTTTAAGGTGTGTATGAGGTATGTCTTTTAGGGTATGTCTTTAAATTCAACGCTGTCTTTGAATGCTCTACTGTATAGAAAATTTTGTACTTTCTGATTATACAATTATGGCCAACTATTTATAGAAATGATGAAAAATGTTCAGAGAATTATTACTCTTCATGAGAATTTTGAAAAGCAAAAGAAATTATTTTTGAATCCTCAAGCTTGTCTTCTTTTATTGGGGGTTACACAAAAAGTCTGCCAATAATCTTGATATACCCAATATATTTTTTGAAGATGGGCAGATGTAAACTCCAGGAAATTTATTTTATAGTTTTTATTCTATGAAAAAATGACAAAAACAAACCACAGAATTCAGAAACTAATTTACGAAAGAATTGACCAATTACGAATAGTTTTTTTAATTCCTGGCAATGAGCCAAAAATCCAACACTTTCATTTTGATACTTATAGGCATAACCATAGAGACACAAATAATTGCATTTAATTATTCTTCATCTGACATACTGTAATATTCTTTAGCAAATTCAAAATTGAGTGTATAAATTATATTTTTTTAAAAGAAAATATAGGGGACACTGAAAGTAACCTAATGTTTTATTCTTGAATTTACTTATTCCATATTTTCAGGCTTCTCAATAATTGATATTCAAAATTGTTCATAAAACAAACTGAGCAAATCTTACAAGTCTTTCAGAGTCTTTTATGAGCAAGGTTTCACAGGATGAAATCCTTTCCTGATGGTTCAAGATTCATGTCATTATCCTTTTAATGAATTTTTAAAAAGTTGTCAAATATTTCTGTATGTTTAATAATCCCATTTAGTACATACTGTACATTTTAATTTTATAGATTGAAAACTTCACTTTGAGGAGAGCATCCATCAGCTTTTGTTCAGATCTCATCTTGACTAATGAATGAGGCAATCATGGCTTCACATGCATAGTTCAGGCGAACATATGCAAAAAAAAACTTTTGCGAAATCCCTTTTGCACCATATGGAATTCCTCAGTGCTGGCTGAGTGAGTGAGTGAGTATAAAAGCCAACAGCACTTTCCAGCAGAGCATCACATTCATTTGCCTTCTCCATCAGAATCTAGTCATCACTCCAATTTTTTTTAAAGAAAAGAAAGACATCAACAGAAACCTTCAGCAGAAATCATCATCATGAAGGTGAAGAAACCTTGTGAAAAATTCAATGTATTGGATAAACCAAAAGTGATATGTATTTATTTGTTTTTTGTGTGTGTGTGTGTGAAATAGTTGCATACTGTGTTCCTTGTGGCTGTTGTTGCCTGCTTGTGCTACACTGTCTGGGCTGCTCCTGATGCTGAGCCTGAAGCTAATGCATTAGCTGACCCTGAGGCAAAGGCATTTGCTTTCCCTGGGTCTTCCAGCTCTGGCTCAAAGTGAGTTGGAAACTACATACAGTATCAACATAGTTATGTGAATAAGTTTGAAAATTGTCATATGCATTTGAATAACCTCCCCAAGTCAAATGCCAAGGGACCACCAAAAATTTTGACTTTGGAAGGTTTTCAATAATCAAGGTTTAAATATTGGAGCCTGGCTGTTTTGTTTTATACAACATAGAAGAATGGCACAAAATTGTAAATGATGATATTCTGGGCATTAAATTGCATCTTGAATGAGTTGACAGGATACTGAACTTATTATTGGAGGCAGGGAATAAATTTGCCCAATTTAGTCTGCCCTTCCCTCTCAAAAGTCAAAACACATGAA